GGGGGGGGGGGGGGGGGGGGGGGGGGGGGGGGGGGGGGGGCCCTGGGAATGGGGCACTGCGGGCAGAGGGAGTGGCCATGCAGAGGCCCGAGGCAGGAACGTGCTTCGTGTGTTGCAAAAACAGCAAAGGGGCCTGTGTGAGGGTGGTGTGAGGGGAGAGGGTTCGTGAACAATCTGCAGGCCGTGGCCAGGACTTCAGCTTTCAGTCTGAGTTGGGGGTGTGGGGGGGAGGGAGGCCTCTCCCTCCCCTGTCGCCTTGGGGCCTTGGTCAGGGCGGAACCGCCATCCAGGCTCCCTGAACCCCAACACCAGCTTCAAAGTGGTGTGTGTCAGGGCATCTGTCTGGGCAGAGGGCCTGGAGCTTGGCTCTGAATCCTAAGGGGGCACACAGATACGAGGCCCCTGCGCACGCGTGGGTGCTGCTCGGGGGGGGGGGGGGGGGGGGGGGGCTTTGGAAACCCCTTTGTCATGGAGCCACAGAGCCCGAGGGCCCCGAGGAGGCGTCTCAGCCTGGGCGGAGGCCGAGCTGGGGACTGACTGGGGCAGTCCGGGAGCTGGCGCTCCCGGCAGACATCCTCTCGCACGCACAGCCCTAGATGCCAGCCCGCTGTGGCACTACCCATACTCACCCACGCTCAGACACACCCACACACCCCTGCCACGTGTGCTCGCATTCGTGGACGCTCACACCCCCCGAAATCTGTCACACATACGCAGGCGTGCTTCCCACTGCTCGCCAGCCCTCGGCCAGGCAACCACTTCCGCGCTCGCTTTGGGGCTCTGAGGACGCACAGGCACAGGGAGACGTGTGGGTGAGGGCCCCCAGGCTGGTGCACACACCCACCTGTCAAAGGTGACGGCTGCAGTGAGGGTGACTGAGAAGCTGGATTTTCACAAAGAAACAGAGCCCAGAGGACGCTTCAGCCCCAAGAGAGGGCATGTGAGGGAGACCCTCTGCACCGGCCCCCCCCATCCTTCCCTCACGTGCCATGCGTCCAGACGTGTACAAGCACACGGAAGTTTGCACACAGTCCTTATCGATTGGGACCACCGGCTTCCAACATCTGAGCCACATGACCACAGTCTCCTGTGGGACCTGTCTACCCCCCCGCCCCCACTCGTCCACGCATGCACACGCCCACCCACGTACACGCACACACGGGCATACAGCCACAGCCAATTTGCTCTTCATTGCTGGTGTGGGGATTTTTCCTCCTTTTCCCAGCACGGTCTCATCCCC